CACCTCACCCGTACACCCACACAGATCACCTCACCCGTACACCCACACAGATCACCTCACCCGTACACCCACACAGAACTTTTCTCTCAACTTTGAGATTATGTAATATATGTGCGACATGTCTCTGATATGAATGTCTTCTGCGGGTAACATTTATCGCTCGTTACTTCTTGTACCTCGTGACTTTGTGCGCGTGACTTGCTCTGAGTTAAATTTTTCGTTATCTTCTCGAAGTCTTTTGTGGTTGCAAATGTAGAGTGAGAATTTCTCACGTGAGAAATTAGATTTCTTTTATAACGCGATAGTGATGTAGTTACTTTTATGTGACTTGAAAGATAATATGAGAATAGAAAATTTATTTATTGATGAATTTGAACATAAAATTGGTTGGTTTATAATTTTTAAGTTAAACTGATAATGTTGGATCTTTTTTACGTAGGACCACGGTGATGTATTTCAGGTAATATTACAAATTGTTCAATTTTGGTAATGGGATAGCCATGAAATTTCACCTGGATTTACAAATAATTGAATTTCTACAAAGCCTGGTATACTACTTGGCCGTTACTTATCTCATTTAACTACTGATGCTTTTTTCAAACTGTTTTGTATCATGCGCACAATTTTGAGAATTCTTTTTCTTCTGTTTTTTGCAACTTTCATACCTTCCCACCAACTACAAAAACAACTGTAGAATAGAAATTAAATAATTGTAAAAAAATTGTACACTGTTTTTATCACAGCGTGAAAATCTGGGTGGTCACATAATAGTATTCTAGAATAATATTTCCAGAAAAATTACTTTTCGGCATGATATCTTGTATATCCTCGCTCGACTGCACATTATGAGGTAAAATGAAAATGCCATACCGTGGTTTCAATGGATATAAATGTGTTGTAATACTTTTAAATAATTTCATGAGCAATACTATGTATTTACAGCGTTGAGATTCGTCAAAACCAAACTTTTGTAAATCGCCCCTATAATTCTGGATTAATCCCATTCTATACGAATATATAATTTGACTGTTATTTAATATTGATCAAGCTAAATAAATCTCTTCGTTGTCTTCTGTTTACTGGTTAGTCACAACGATGAAAGAGCCGACTTTCAAAATTGTTTTGTTCAATCACAGGTCGTGACGCAGAATTTATTGAGAATATAAATAAGGTTCAGTATTCACTAATTTCACTTCTTTCAAAATGCTCAGCGTACAAGATTTTCAGTCTTCTTTCTTGTAACATATTTTTATTTGATATTCTTGAGTAGATTTTTCATTTGATTCAACCAATTTCTCTATAATGTGGCTGCAAACTCTCGCATGTCGTATACTCGGTGTCGCATTTTTGGACATTTTTAAACGTGAGACTCTGATGCGTTTCGATTGGCCGTTCACATCATAAAGCTGTCTTTTTATTCAGATTCGACAATTTGTTGATACTTTAATGTTAGTTTGGTTCAGACCCAGTATTCAGAGCAGAAAAATCTTTTTGAATTGATGGATTCTGAATTAATAAGATCAGGTAAATTCTTGTAGAGAAGTAATTTGAAGAAAATTATCCTAACTCCAAATTCTTTTATAAATATTGATGTTAGCGAGGATTACAGAGACAAATATACCAAGGAAACTTGAGAGGGTCCATGACCAGATCTGTATGAGTAATCAGACTTCACTTCTGAAACGAGCGCATAATAGAGTCAACTCTCCAATACCCATATAGTTTTATGTAAATGATTTGATAAACTTAGTTTTATATGGTTAAATATATGAATACCAATCGACTTTGACCGCATTCAGATTCACCTCGATACCAGCGAAAATCATGCACGCACAAACTGAGGGTGAGTGCTTAGACTCAGAGCTTAATTGCCATGATCAATTGATTCACAGGGATTTATAGGACTTTTGGCTTTATGTATGAAAGGTAAACCATCGAAATAATGCATGTTATTGATGAAGTTCGATCGGCATTAGTTTGCCGACTCACAATAAATTAGCGGCTCTCACAGGTGATATCTTGAATTTTCACATCACCAGTCATGCTGCTGTTCTTTTCAGGTAAAAAAAACTTGTTTGTCTCATTTGAAGAATTCCCTGATTCGACTGGGAATTAGGAAGTTTGGACTGTCTGATCTTTAGAAGATATTGTGATATTGAAACATATATCGTGCCCTGTCTCCAAGTAAGGAAGAATCTATGGGAAGCAAATGACAAGTCGTCGTCATTTAACTCTCAATGCCATCGCCGATGCCAATTATAAAGCAGCCTGATATGATGCTTTGTCTTTCATTCAGGAACTTCAAATATGCCAATTCGAGTATATTGAGATTGATTACTAATAAGTCTGCTATTGAATTTCATTTTTGTTTTTTGATGCATCTCTGCAAAATGTGGGTACCTTAATTCTTTTTGTAGGATTGGAGACGCCAATTTTCTAGAATGGCTCCTAATCATCGATGATTCTGGGTAATGAAAAGGGGGCATTCATTGAAGACAAGACGAATTTTCCATAAAGGTCGATTGTCATCAATTTTTTGGTGACGCGCACCCGGAATTATTTGGCGTGAACATTTTTTGTGCACACTAACGTTGTTAATGGTTTTATCATAACCACTGATAAAGGGATCAAAGTTGAAAATTGATATGGTGAAAGAGCCAAGAACGTCGAAAAAATTGCAAATTTAATGGTGAATCAATGTGAGATGTTTTGTTTTTCTGAAGCTATTCAAGAGTAATGTTCAAGACTTTCGTTTTTTGGGGGAGTAAAGTTTCTACTTTTTTTGCTCGTGTAAATTAAAGGGGCAGCGTCTTATTGTTCTTATTTCACATCGTAACCGCAATATTTAACCACTGAAATGGAAATACTCGAACTTTCAGCAATTATCAATTATAGGTAAGATATAGCACAATGTATGACTAATTTGGCAAAATATCAACAATTTTGTATATAATTACGAAATCCTTGTTCACGTTTATATTGTTCAATGGATACAGGAAAAGACAGCGAAGACCATCAAAAATTACAGTATGCATACGGTCAAAATATTACCAATTGAGGAGATTTAGTTCACCAAATTTCATATGAGAAATGCCATTTTCAAATCCTACACAATGACTACTATTTTTGGAAAAATGCTGGAGCGCAAATTGAAATACTAAAACTAATGATTGCCAAAGAGTTGCTCTATGCATAAATTTTTGACGTCCTTGTAAGATGACAGCATGTTTCAAATAACAAAAACCAGTAATCCCAATAAAATGACTTCATTTACAAAACTTGAATATGTTAGGAACGCCGAACAGTTAGACCAATTCATTTGTCCCTTTGATTGAATTCATTCATGTGAGAGTTGGAACCTCTCGATGGAAACACCCGATTCTGGCATGGCAATGACAACGAAAAACAAATTCAAGCAGATTCTCACCCCGCTGCCAAAAGAAGACGACTAAACGCCGAAATATCGAAGACAATTGCATTGTTTCAAGAGAAACATTGTAAAGATTGTCGCATGTCGTAACAATTACAACATCGAGATTATGGTGGAGCTTAGTTGGATTACTTCGTAACTTGCAAGCTTCCTGGAGTATCCCATTTCCTGAGATACAAATAAGCCGAATTTTTGATCCAAGTTCATGATAAAATTTTGCACTAAGTCAAATCTGTTTACAAAAGCCAGGTCTTTAGTTGAGTGAATATGAGAGATGGAACCATGAAGAAATTCGACAGCATCCAATGGAAAGGCAATCATTAATCTAATAGCTCTATTTCCCTCATTTGTGCCTCCAATTGGACTTCAAAAAAGCTGAGATAGGATGTAATGAAATTCTCAATTACAAAGATAGATTCCATAAAGAGATATACAAAGCTTTTCAGCGCATAATGTTATGATGTTGCGAACACAACTTCCTTTCGGGGACACAATATCAAAATTCGTCGTAACAAGCGTGTAAAATTAAGGAAACTTTAACCATAAATAAAGCATACAATGGGATTAGAAAGTTTCCTAAAATCATCCAAAATGCACTGCTTTTGTTTGAATGCTTCATTCGGAAGAAGTATATCTTTTTTAAGTAAGTGGTTTGAATGGGAATAACAGGGTGTCTCGTTTGTCTGAGTTCACGGAACCTATTCTGAGTACAGTTGGTCGGGTATAAATTGTGGTTGATTACCTTTTTCAAATCATAAAGTCTCAAAGAAATACCATGAATCTTTCGATATTCATAAGTTTGACAGTTTTTTCTTCAATAGTTAGCTGCCTGTTTTCTGCAGGGGCAGGATGTACACCAGTTATTATTGCCAAAGGTTTGAGAGTTGACTATTATGATAATGTCAAGTTCAATGCTGTACCATTCGGTAGTTCTTCAGTTTCCGATGTCGTAAATTATCTTGGAGTTATTGCGGGTATGAAAGTTTCCGCAACTAAATATGGGATCACCAATATTAACTTCAACGTTCAGAACATTCCTACCGACGGTGATAACTACCGTAATTTGTATGGTAGAAGGACTAACTATCGTAAGTTTGGATTGAGATTATCTGGATACTTTTATGCTCCTCAAAATGGTAAGTATACTTTTGCTATTGATAACATCGATGATCTGGCCGTAGTTAAAATAGGATCAACCGCAGGTGGATGCTGTGGAACACCTTCCACCACAGCAAAAAATTATCAATTGCTCAACTATGGGACCATTAATCAAGATCAAAGTAAGCAAAGAAAACTGGACTCCACTACTTTAAAGAAGGGCAAGTACTATCCTATTGAGATTATTTATTACAACCAAGCTCCAAATGGAGCTGTTTTAGAATTAGATGTTACATATCCTGACGGAAAGAAAAAATCACCAGGTTTTTTCTATCAGTTGAGTAACAAACCACGTCAATGTATTACCACAACGATCAGAAGTGTTTCCTATTGGACAAACTCGTACACTTCAACACACACGTACACTCCTACCAAAGGTGGAAATGCTACAATTGTCGTCGACAAACCACCCCTTGAAACTACAATTTCTTGGTCTGAGAGTTTTACTTCTACCTACACTACTACTCCAGTATCAGGTGGACCTCCATTGATTGTGGTTGAGACTCCTGTTTTTCCAACTTTAAACCCTCACTGGCAAAACACCACCCAAACAACAACATCGATGACTACCACAATGACTACTGTGCCTTGTGATGACTGCGAACAAGGATTCACGACTTCAGTTTTCAATCCTTCTCAAGTTATTTTACCACCGGGTTTCTTCACTGTGACCTCCACAATGATAACAAATGTGCCATGTAAAGAGTGTGAGGATGGTGAAAGTATTTCCACCATCATCACCACCGCAATTGTTTCAGCTGAAACAGATTCAGGCTTGGACTCAGGCTCAGGCTCGGACGTAGACTCAATACCTGATTCGAATGTCGTTTCGAGTGGGGATACTTCCCCAAACCTAGACTCCAATGCAAATACTGACTCAGGATCAAATTCGCCTGGTTATAGTAACTCAGGGGAATTTACAACCAAATTCGGAATTCCATTGACAGCATCTGCATTTGAAGGTGGTGCCTCCATGAAAGCGATATCTTCGACTTTCCTTTTGATTTTTTCATTCTTGTTTATGGTTTGAGTGATTCAGCCGTATACTATCGATAACTTGATTGATTCTTCTTATCTTTTTTATATTTTTCGTTCAAATTTATGTGTTATTCATTCTACTTCTATTCTGAACCACTCGCCGAGACGACTCTATGGATTGAAAGGTCAAGACTGAAACCGAGTGAGTAGCTCAAAAACTTGCGAATGCGATATTTTACCTGAGAAGATAAAGCTCTTGTTTTTCCTCTTGTTTTAACTCACACTTGACAGAGAATTTCGTACAAGTTCTTGTAACTAGTTTATCTCCTCACTTTATCAAACAAAATAAGTTTGATAGAAGGACACCGCTGGTTAGATGAACCAAGGATTTCCTCACTCAAGGAAGTGATTTCATGTTTCGGAACCTACACATTAATACGAATCTTGTATATAGTGGGAAAGAAAATGTACAGTAATATCACCCAAAAAGGAAGATAGCTCTAGACGATTTTATTTTTTTCCTTGACACATTTCTCGTCTAATGTTAAGATCCCGGATATTAGATTTTATGACCGTGTAACAAAAATCTCCTCACTTCGATCGGGATATTAAAATTAACATTTAAAAAAGGGGGGCCGGAAATTTCAAGAAAACTAATCACGTATCTCACTTCGTGTGTATAGATGCTCTTCACTTAAAAACCAAAAGGTATATAATTCTTCTTATTGTTGGATTTTATACCTGCTAAGTCTCTTTTGAGGTACAAGTAAGTTCAAGTAAAGCATTTTTCTATACATGCGAACTTTCGACCCGGTGCATTCCAAGTAAATCACGACCTTCTTCAAGTCTTTCAATTTGTTCCCGGAACGGTTTTGAATTTATCTTCCAACAGGCTTTGTTAGATGCGTTTACGTCTTGTGGGAATCAAAAAGCTTTAGTTCCGTGGCTACAACTCTGAAGTTTCCTCCTTATGGAAATTACCAGAAGTTCTGATATATGATCTTGCTTGGTAGAGTTTTCTTGGCAAAACCACCAGCTGGGAAAATGTCTTTATCGCCTTCTACTGGATTACCTAAGGACAATAATTTGTAATATGAATCAATGCCCTATGTCCTGTATAATGAAAATGCTAGCTGTCCAACAAACCTCGCACTGAGTTTAGAGCAAAAACCATTCACCGTTGAAGCTTTGATTGAAGTTACTTTCCAACACTTCTGATTTAAACCTTCTATTGTGCTTTTCGGCTTCAAATTCCATTGACAAATATTGTGGAAAAGAAAAACCAATTTCTTCCAAACGATCTGTGATTATGAGCAAAAAGGTAATTCGATGAATTTCAAACTTTTGTGTAATTGATTTTTAGATAAGTCAATTTCCCTTGGTTTGAAGCTACGTCCTAAATTATCTTAATAGATAATCTTGGAAATGTTGCTCAAGACAAATTATTATCTCCCCATTGAAACTAAAGTGAAGTAATTTCACTAACAGCAATTCGAAAAAGAATAACGCTAAACCACATATTTTTCTTACTGGGTAAGGCAGAAACCTTCAAGTATGCCTACTCATATTGGTTAAATTCCAAGCAAAAGGCCAATTGATGTTCTAGAGGCTGGTCGCTTTGTTGAAAGTCACATGATTTCAAGAGATTAATATTGACAACTTCAGCTATAATGATGAAGCATAGACTTTGAATACAACTTCCTCCTATACCTGCAATAACTCTACCACCGATGAAAGTATTCATATTCTGTGATAAAGCACACATCAAGGACCCAGCTTCAAAGATCAAAGTAGCCAATAAAAGATACTTTCTACCAAATGCAATAGATAATTTACCCCAGATGGCCGTAAATACAGTTAAAGGTAATAAAAACCCTGTAGCAGCCCATGAAACTTTATCAAAACTATGGAAATCATTAGAAACTTCAGTAAGGACAGTTGAAACAATTGTTTGATCTAAACCAACGAGAAACATATTCAAGGCTAAGGATATTACACATGCAAGTAATTGCGCACCATGCAAATACTGTTCTTCTCTTGTAGTTCCATCACCAGCGTCAGCTTCAATGAACTTTTTGTTTGCTAAATCATTAGAAATACTGTTAGAGTCCGTCATTTTTCAAGTTTATTAAGAATTCAAGCAGAGTTTATCGTGTTTATACACCCAAAAAAAAAGATGTTCCGCTTCCGTCGCAGAGCAGTCAAATTTAAAATCTGTCTCCGTCTACCTATGAAGCGTCTATCTATGAAGTGCAGCGAGCGGCGAGCGGCGAGCGGAGGCGGCGATGAATTTCAGAAAGAATTGAAGTACTCCAACGCTCATTGGAACTTTCCAGGTCTTCGGTTGAAACTATGGAGTATAAAATTCTTTTAATTGAAACCAGGCATTTTTGCCCCACAATTGTAAACTAAAATTTCACTTCACATCATTGATTAATTTACCCTACTGAAGTTACCCAATACTGCTTATGCTATTAATTTACTTTCATATCGTGGATCAAGTGGTGGATAGCCGAATGGCAGAAGTTGAAAGTGTTTTTGTCTTTCTACATGAGAGAATAAAGCTTGAGACTCATAGATCATAGGAACTCTGAGGTAACCTCCTTGTCGTCTAAATTCATCGTACCTATTTGTACCTATGTAACATTTAACTTCCGCACTGAACTTATCATACAACGATTCGAACTTATCATGAGTGATTTTGAATTCATTGCGATGGGAGCCGGAAACTAATGACGTCAAGCCAAAGAATTTCGTAATAACATGTGTTACTGATGGGAGAATATTTAAGTGTGGCAGATCCCGGTCTAAAGTAGCTCTGTTCAATTTCAATACTGTATCCAAATAGCACTTCCCCCGTTGGAGTACCTCAAAATCTCCCCTATCAAAGTAGAATTTCATTTGTTCATACTGAGTCCAGCTCTTACGTTTGTTATTCCCAGCACTAGTATTTACACCCATGTTTCAAGGGTAGGAATCTTGTTTACCGGCAGAAGGTAATGGGGTAAACGAAAACATGGTTGAGCCTGTTCCACTTGTAGCAGCTGCAAACCAGATACACTTATATCCCCAGCTAAACTGTTCAGTCTTGACTCTATATTCTCAACAGTGAGCAAATATAGTATTGAAAAGTAAACCCTGTAAAAGCTTCCCAACTCATTTCTTTCATTGATTCATTGATAAAATCCACATCTTTAGCAAAGGATTCGTGTTCCCACTGGCTACGTTCAAATCTTGTCTAATTGTTAAACTGTCAACTTCCAATATTTGTCTTTTCAATATTTCAGGTTCATTCATGGCACAAGTGAAATAAGTGTTGATGAGTATGTGGTTTTTTCCGCAGCATTTTGATCCTTTTGGCCCTGATTAGATAAACAAGAATGCTTATTTTATTGTTAGAACTAGTGATCTTCTAATCATAAAAATGTCGGATTTACAGCATAAATGTCGTGACAAAATCGACAAGATGCATCAAATTCGATAAGATTACTCAAGATCCAATAATGGAAAATTTCCACTTAAGTATTTTATTGTTGATTGTCAAATCTGGAAGTTCTAAGGGATAGACAGTTATGTCAGTTTGTTAGGATTTAAGGTTCATTTTTGTTAAAATTGACGATTTTAGATTATATCAGTGTTGGGAAGTCGAAATCTTCAATACCACCAGTAACCAGATCAGATTTTTAAAAAGATGCTTTGAATATCAACCTTGCTCTAGAATCTTATTTACGAGTGATTTTTCTGCGAAGAATTCGTATTATTCTGATTTCTTTACTTCTATTCGTTATAACTATGCACCAATCACACACACACACACGATATGAATTAGCTAAAGCGTCGAAAACATTTATTCATTCAATTTCTCTTATTTTCATACGAAGTAGATTGCCGTTCTCCTTGACTAATTTCTTTTTTGTTGTACTTTTCAGATATTACAAGCCGAGTGTTTTTTAATTTCAGTGTTTTCTGTTTTTCGCAGGTTTCATAGCTATCCCATAACGGATAAAGTATCTGGACAATTATAAAATCAGACAAACAAATGAAAAAAGAGAACTATATATCTTTTCATTATTACAAACACCAAGAATTGGTTACTGAGGGTAGTTGCAAACTCATTTTCAAACTTACTTTCAAGGTTTAGGGTGAATGTTTTTCAATTTACTCTATTCCTAATATTTACAGATAAACGTCAACTAGCTTTGTACAGCTATTCTGCAAGTTTCAATGCAAACCGGTCGAAAATTCTGAACAGCTATGGCCCAAAGCAATATCCAAATACGAGCATTTTTGTCCCGTTGAAGGTCAAATGAATGAAGTTTGGGAGATTCTTATTGAATTCATTGTTGAAAGAGCATTATATATGTAAAGGTTTCTAAAACGATACCGGTATTCTTAGAATCTACATGGTGGGCCTTTTCGCATATTGACTTTGTTTTCAGGGACACGCGTTAAATTGGGACACGCGTTAAATCGGGATGGAACCTATAGAGAAACGATTCTCACACCAAGAAAAGAGTATACACATAATGCGAGTGTAGGATTCATATTGCTGTGAATTGAGAATAAATGTATATCAAAGAGGTATATAGCAGAATTGGGTTAAATTCTCAAATCGAAAACGAGTGTGAGAACAATAAAATGACCACACGGATAAAACTTATTGATTGGAAGAAATGATAATGGATCTTGATTTTTATTGAATTTTCTAAATTTGAGTTGACAATTCCATCTCTAGTTCTATCGATGGTTGCCTTATATAATTTTGTTAGTCAGAATCCGTCAGATTCACCCCACTGCTTCATCCAGAATAGAAGTCCCGTCAAAAAGATAACCCTCTTTTATTTCCGGAACATTCCGTAAAAGAAGCTCACATTTCTTAAAAGAAGCTCACATTTCATAATTCTCGACTCTTGCTGATGGATAAGCCTCCATTGGAAGTTTCATGGGGTGTCTGAAACGCCAATTCCACTTTGTTTTCGACGATGTAAAATTTGATAAATTTCCCTCTGAAATATATAGGATGAACAACTTTGAATTTCAGAATAGTAACGTAAGATGTTAGTGAGTTAAAATTGGTTATATTCGGCATCGAATTCGAATTACGTATTTGCAGGGGCATTAGTTAATAAAAATCCGTCGTGAAAGAAGGAACAGCAATGTACCTTGGAAGTAGGTTTACAAAAAATTCAAACAGTTGACAAACTGCTGTCGTTTTATTTGGAAGATGAATAATATTCTGTATGATGTTTGGAGTTCACAGTAGCTAACATTCCCTTTCCATCAATTGGAAAAGGTGCTTCCGAATCATGAAAGGTATCGATATAAAATATGTAATGTTTATTAGAAAGTAAATATCATAGTATAAAGAATAATAAATTCATCGAGGAGAATTAAAATGTAAAATGGGTATAAGAAATAACATTCTCAATGTCAAATAAGTAAAGGGATTTGAGAAGATGATCGAAAACATCAAAAAGACTAGATCAAGAACAATGAAATGAAACCAGCGACGGCGAGGGCAAAAGTTGGTTCAATTTTACCTGCTACACCTTCTGGTACTGACGCTGTACTTGAACCAGCGGCGGCAACAAAAGAACTGCTTTCGGAAATGCTGATTGGAGCAATTGTTGTTGGGGCAACTGTGGTTGGAGCTGCAGAAGTAACTTCTTCTGCAAGACCAGATGAAGTGCCTAAAATGGTAGTGGTACTGGCTTCACCAACAGAATTAGTACCAACACTTACGTCACATGGGATAGTAACAGTAACACCTTGTTCATCAGTAGTAACTACTGAGGTAGCATAGTGGGTACATACGTGACATTCAACAGTTTCAGTAACGTCAATGTGGTCAGTTACAGTCACAGCAACACAAGTACCTTTGGCACATACAGTTGAAGCAGTGACTTCTAAGGCTACAGTGTGAGTTACAACATCTCCTTCTTTATCAGTTGTTACAATAACTTCACAAGAACCTGTGGAAACGTGACCTTCCTTATCAGTGGTGGTGTATCC